TGGAGTGAAGTACAGAAGTCCTTGAGGAATACCTGCTGCACCCTGCAAGAAAGCTGAAACTGGGAAGAAAGTTCAGCTTTCAGGGTGATAAAGACCTGAAACAAACAGCCAAAGATACATTAGAGTGACTGGGGAACAAAATGGTACATGTCCAATAAGAGCGCCGAGCTGAATCAAATTGAAAAAGTATGGCTTGAAGATTGCTGTCCAACAATGTACACTAAGGAATGTGACAGGCCTGAACAGTTTTGTAAAGAAGAATGGTCAAACATTGCCAAATCGTGATGTGCAAAGTTGGTAGAATCTATTCCCAAAAGACTCAGAGCTGCGAAAGGTACAAATATGATATTTCTGTTTTGTGTTTTTAATTTTCAATTTCTTCCCAATTAAAAAGATTTCCCCCTAAAAGTGTGCAGTATGGTTTGTAGATAAGAGGAATAATATCCTCATTTAAATGTGGAAATTCTGTGGCACAGACAAAATAAAAAAGTTTCAGGGGGCTGTAAAATTTCTTAGGCACTGTATATGCACTATTGTACTAAGCAAAATAAAATAATGATAAATTGCACAGGACAGTGAAACGTGAATCTGTAGTTCAGTGTTTTATGTTCCTACTGGACATTCATCTTTCTTATTGAATATTTTAAACCTGACGTTTTCTGTTAAGAAAGTCAATGAAGTGACGTTACTACAAAATATGGTCTCCAGGTGCAGAAAAGGCCTTTGACAGTGTAAAATTGGCTTTTTTATTTGCAGTTTCAGATCACCTAAGGCTTGGCAGCACCTTTCTTAACTGGATTAAAATTTTATATACCTCCCATGCTGCATCTGTAATTACTAAAGGACTAATCGCAGAACCTTTCAAATCCCTTGGGGTATAACACAAGGCTGCCCATTATCCTCCTTACTCCTTCCCTTTATTTATTGGACCCCTCACAGCTACTATACATCAAGAGGATTGTATCAGGGGAATACAAATGGGTCAGACTAATCATAAAGTCTGTTTATATGCAGATAGTATTTGACTTTGTTCACAAAGAATCATTACTCAGTCCTTAAACATCTATGCCACTTTGACCAAGTTTCAAGATGTAACATGAACTGGTCTGGATCTGAACTTTTGCCTTTAAATTTGGTGCCTTTATATTTTGTGGGGGGGCAAGTATGGTCTGGGTAAACAGACTTTCATACACAGCCACTAGGTTAAAAAACA